GGGGTTACATGCTAATTGCATTTGTTGGGGTTGCATATTAGAGGCACACGTTATTGTACGATAATCTATCCCAGAATCTCACTCTAATTATTAAGGCCCCTGTCTTTAGCTTGCTTTAGGGGTTTTGAGGTTTAGGGGGGGTAAGGGTTTAGAGGATCTTTGGAATTTGAGCTTTGTGCTGTACGGTTCAGGATTTGAAGCTGTAATGGCCAAGGAGTCATCTTCTATTGCCGTATGTATGTGTGTTTGGGCGTTTAGGGCAGTTTAGGGGTTCGAGATCCGTCTAAGAGATAGCTGCTAACAGCTGTCGACTTCCCTCGCAAGGGTCCATGGCTGCGGACTCCACGAGGAAAGCAGCAACAGAGCAACAAGACCAGAACAACAACAGAATAGCATGTGATTTTGGGGGTATCAGAGTATGCTATATCCTTATAATCAGGGAACCTCATGGATATCATTTCGGTCATGATCAAAGCCCCTAAATTCACCGTGGAGGACATTGTTAGAAGGAGTCCTCACATCGGGAAAGCGGCATTTGGCTTCGTTCTGTGCCTTGCATCGTTAGCCCGGCAATCCGAACACCCCAAACAACTGCTTAGCGTAAGCTCCGATGTCGATAGTGCCAAGCCCTAAACCCTAAGCCCTAAACCCTAAACCGCCCCTGAAAGGAATGGGTGTTGTATTTACATTCATCAGTGGTCTACAGTACCCTCAGCCCGAGCGTCCGAACCCAATTTCTTGAGTCCGGCATTTTTAACGTACATTCTCTAGATTCTGACGCTGCAGATGGCAAAAGTTCAACATATAAGTTATAATTATAATCGCAGTAGTATTAATCATCATAATAGAAAGAACAATGGCCATCATGACTGTTCGTACTAGAGTTCATAGCCTTTCCTTGCTCCCTCAAGCGCGCATCCGAAAACCATAAAGCCAAAAAAACCCAAACGCCTAAAAATCCAAAACCTCGAAGCCCAAACCGCGAGTCCCCATTTTTTAGGAGCCCCTTATAGTAACCCCCTTAATTAGACTACCCTTGCAGAACCCCGCAAACGAGGCCTTAAGTATGCAATATTAAAGTATTTGGGTTTAGGATTTGGCTTTAGGATAGTAGTTGCATAGGCCCATATTTGGAAGAGCAGATGATTATCGCGTACTTGGACCCTTCGGGTTATAAACTTTGCCTAAACCCCCAAAGTAGGTAAAATAATGGCCCAAAGCCTCAAACAGGCTATTGTTCTACATACTGTTGGGGTCCAGGTAAACGCTAAACCCTTGAAAGGACCCTAAACCATAAACCCTAAACCCTAAACTAAACCCTCGAAAGGACCCGAAACCCTAAACCCTCAACCCTAAACCCTAAAACCCTAAAGCCCTAAAACCCTAAAACCCTAAAACCCTAAACTAAACCCTTGAAAGGACCCTAAACCCCAAACCCTAATGAAGGGGCCCCGGGCTCCCTGTGCCAGGATCTCGAGCAGGGTGTTGCCTCGACACTTGGCTGAACGTCGTGTTGGTTTGAGGGATGTTCTTCGGGTTTATGGCTTGGGTTTAGATTTTAGGGTTTAGGGTTTAGATTTTAGGGTTTAGGGTTTAGGGTGTAGCGTTTTTAGTGTTTAGGGTTTAGGGTGTAGGGCTGCTTAGAGTTCAGGGCATGTGCCTTAATCGTGTGTTTCAGAGTTCCAGGTTTGGGTCCAAGGTTTTAGAGTTAGGGGCATTCTGCCTTCGTTTAGTACATGGGGCTTCGGGCTTCGTAAGCTTCTAGAAATTCACGGCCCAAAGCCCTAAATCCCAAACCCCAAACCGATCTGAAGGTCGTGGTCTTGAAGTCTCCTTTTCGGACCTGAGGGGCTATAGGGTTTAGGGTTTTAGGGTTTAGGGGTTTAGGGGTTTAGGGGTTTAGGGTAGGAGTGTTTAGGAGTAGATGTCCTTTTCGGGCTTCGGGGGTTTGATATATGATATAAGTCGTTTAGTCTTCACCCTATGCTTCCGGGGACCTTATTATTGGGTCCATAAGGGTCTAGGGCCCTGACTATAAGGTCCTCTAAGCAAAGAGTTCGGGCTATGAGGACTTGGGTTTTCGGCGTTGACATGTTACGGCTTGCGGGTTGCATTCGAGATTTGCAAGTGACGCCTTCAGGATCCTGGAGTATAAGATGCTCTGTGTCAGTGCAGGCAATTGGGATTTAGGCTTGTAGGCTTTAGGAGACTATCGGCTAGGTTGGCTGGTTGGTTGAGGGTTTACGGTTTAGGGTGCCTAGGGTGTAAGGTCTTGGCTTCACGGGCTTGTAGTTTACAGGAATTCAGATGTTCTTTCTGTTCCGTGGTTCAATTCGAAAGGTTCCGCCAGTCGCCTTCGTTCAGTTCCCTGTACGAAAAGGACTAAGAAGATGTGCACACAGCAAGAAGAACCCCTGGTCCAACAACACTGGTGCAATGAGACTTTGCCATGACGATCAACAGCCTGTTCGTGCCCTTTTACCTCGATGATGAAGACCGCGTCCTCTGCGATGCAGGCCCATGCAGAGCGAGATGATATCCGCATTGTGGCCACAAACTCTGTCTTTCTGAGCTCGTTGCTGCAGTTCGTCGTGAGAAGAGCTTCATGCGACTCGTCGACAACTTCTTAATGGAACCTCGCTTGGGAACCAAACAGCGTCCCAGGCAGGCGAGACCGGACGAGTTCTTGCCTGGAAGAATGCAGGAACGTAGATCCTTCACTTCGACTGCTGGACCAGCACGAATCCACCATGCAGGCCAGCATTTAGGGGTTCCTAAACCCCAAGCCCTAGCTGAACCCCCAAATAACCTATATACTATATACCTTTTAAGGACTTATTTAAAGAAATCATAATAAGGAGCCCTAAAAAGGTAGGTTGTTTAGGGTCCAGGTAAACCCTATGTCGCCCTGGCCTTCGAGGTTTGAGTGGTTTCTGCCTACAGGAGCCCTTTTAGGGGTTTCATTTTAGGGTTTAGGGGTTTCGGGTTTAGGGGTTTAGGGTTTAGGGGTTTGAGGTTAGGGTTTTAGGGGTTTAGGGTTTAGGGGTTAGAGGTTAGGGCTTTAGGGGTTTAGGGTTTATGGTACTGCAGCTCCAAAGCTCTTAACCCTGAACTGACAACGCACGATCCCAAGAGTCTACATCCACGCTCCCTCAGACTCAAGACCCCAAGGGTCCTATGTACCTATATAGTAGAATGTAGGGTTTCTATGTTCGGAATTGCTATTCTGATTTGGGAAAGTATCCCCCCTAGCAGTACATGGGACCCTTTGGGAGACACTTAGGGTTGAGGGTCCTGGGTCGAGGGAATTGAGTTTAAGGCCAGGCTATCGAATGGGCCTGGGAGAGGGTCTAGCGGCGGTTTTAGGGTTCAGGGTTTAGGGATTCCTCGGACCCCCAGGTTGTGTAGAATAACAGCCTTTTAGAGGATTTGGGCCAGTATTTTACTTAACTTGGGGGGTTTAGGATTCTAGTCCAACCCTGAACCCAAAGCAGGGTACCGCCGACGTTTTTCAGTTGACGCGGGATCTATAAATAGGACCCGGTCAGCTCTTGCCTAAACCCTAACCCCTAAACCCCTAAACCCTAAATCCCCCCTAAACCCTTTCGTCCAGCCTTTGGGTCCGTAGCACCCCAGGCTCGCTATCGTGGGCAGGGTGAACCTCCGACCTCAGGTGGAGCTTTGCGATCTTTAGGGTTTAGGGTTTAGAGTTCAGGGTTTAGAGTTCAGGGTTTAGGGTTTTGGGTTGAGGGCTTAGGGTTTAGGGTTTAGGGCTTGCCTTAAACCTCCCAAAGTAAGTAAAATACTGGCCCAAATCCTCTAAAAGGCTGTTATTCTACATAACTTGGGGGTCCAGGCAGGGTTTAGGGTTTAGGGTTTGCGACTTCCGAGGGCTTTCTGTGAAGCACGCCATCCTACCCTTTCTGCACACCTAAGGCTTCGTCTATGGCACTTCGAGGTTTGCGAGGGCTTAGGGAGCAATACCTGGACCCTAATAACCTACCTTGTTGGGGTCCCTTATTCTGATTTCGTTATATAAGTCCCTAAGAACGTGGGTTATTTGGGGTTCAGGTAAACCCCGAGGTTTTCAGGCAATTCTGGCGCTTTGGGTCTCGGGTTCCTAGTGTGCACTGAACTGCCGCATTCTAAGCTTTTCCCTAAGGGTCCAAGTAGTCCTTATTTATGGTTTTTGGTACCCATTAAGGCCCCAAAGTCCTTAAATAATGAGTACTTGGACCCTTAGGGTTTATGTCAAAAAGCTCACAAGGCAGACGGAAACCCTTGGGGCCTACTATTTTGAGCAAACTCTGCAGCACTCAAGATTACTCCGTCTTCCAACTGCTTAGTGTTCGTTCCAAAAGCCTAAAGCCCTACACCGTTACAGGCCTTGGCATCATCCTAAAAAGGTGATGGTGGGCCTAGTGCGCCGTCGCCCAGGATCCCAAGTACGCTCATGGTCGAAATGTGGTTCTCGTTTTAAAGCTAATCTGAGCCCTAGCCCGTGACCAAAACTTTCTGGCAGGGGCACGCTTAAGCAGACAAGCCCGATACTTTGGATAATGACCCCCACTCAGTAACAGTTGAATAGTCATATATATATATATATGTGTGCGTGTATATATATATATATATATGCATAAGGCCCTGAATAACACCTCTTTCTGGACTGTTATTGTATAGGGGCAGTACCCAGCCGAGACTAGTTACTACCTGAGCCCCCCAAAGTAGGTAAATCAATATGTAGAGCTACTGTTGATGATAGAAATCCTGCATTTCCTTAAGAACCCTAAACTATGGGAATTATTGTATATTCCCTTTTCTGGGTAATGCAGGATTTATATCATCAACCGTCGTATTCTGATACTTTCGGGGTCCAGTTCTGGAGTGTCTGCTTAGGCCGAGCCAGCATCATCTGCGCGAACTTGGAGCTTGCAGTGAACCCCCGAAACTGAAACTGCAGCCTTTCTGGCTAGTGACGATTCTGAAATCTTACTTCCATTATGGTAGCGCTGATCTTGCCTGTGCTTCTGTGCTTCGTAGCTGTGACTGCTGCTTCGGTTGCTTACGATGCGTGTTCAGAGGAAAACTGCTGGGGCACGGGGTGGCTGCAGGAAGCGGTCGTGCTGAGCTCCCGAATCTCGGCGATGGACGCAGCTGATGCAGAAGCCACTGCCAGAGCTGCTGTGGCGGGGCCCCTGACGGAGCACATAACGCCGGACACTTTCTCAACCTATTCCGTTCCAATCAGCAGCGGTGTGACCTTCTCCCTGATTTTAGTTTTGCTACTGGTCGCAGTGCATGAGTACCGGGTAGCAGGTGGTGCCAAGCCGCTGCTAGCTGACCACCAGCGTGGCAACAGCTTGCTCTTCCAATGCGCGAATTTGTACTCGTGGTTCATCCCGTTCGTAGTCTTGTCTCTGCTGATCCCGGTCTCTCTGGACTTCGCCATCGACATGGGGCAAAGTGCAACAGCTTCGGGCCTCTTCCTTTCAGTGGCCTCCGTCTTTGCAGTGCTTGGCGTTGTGGTCAGCAAGCGCATCGTCCCGGAGGACAACTGGGATCAGCGATGGGCCCGCAAGGTCTTCTTGGCGTGCAATGCGATGGCCACTGCCGTCCTCGTCGTGAATGCGTATATCTTGCTGGCTGCAGCTCAGTCGTCACTGAACGCGAGGGCTGCCGTTTTTTGGGTGAGTTCCTTCCTGTTCGGCACAGTAAACTTTATGGTTGGATTGTGCGCCCTCTCGAGGAGCGTCATGTGGAATCTGATCACGCCACAGCGGGAGAAGACATTCTGGATGATCATGACCCAGTGTTCTAGAAATTGTGGCTTGCTGCTCGGGCCTGTGTTGTTTGCCATCGTCAGTTACCTCGTCAAGGAGGGCCTTGAGGTGTCCCCAGTTTGCATGATGGGGTGGTCGATGATTGCTGCTGCCATCATGATTCTCAGCGGCCTCGTTTTGGCCTCATTGGCCTTCCCTAGCCAGATCCCGAACCGCAAAGCAGAGGAAGAACCCCCTGAGGCTATGAAGAAAGCCGAGGCCGAGGTGCAGCCTATCCCTCCTGAACCCCGAACCCTATACCCTGAACCCGAAACCCAAGGCCCTAAACCCAAGCCCCATAGACCCTGCACCATGGGCACTAAACCCTAAAACCCTAAAGCCCTAAGCCATCCTAAACCCTAAAGCCCTAAACCCTAAAGCCCTAAAGCCCTAAACCCTGAAACCTAGGCCCTAAACCCTAAAACCCTAAAGCCCTAAACCATCCTAAACCCTAAAGCCCTAAACCGTCAGTCTTACCGCAGAGGTCTCGGCTGAGGCCCAGCCCGAGGAGTTGACAGCAGAGGCTCGCGAGGCGATTGTGTGGCACATGATTCGCTACAGCTTCGAGCGGCCGATGTGCGTCGCAGCGATCGAGTTCGCCACAATCATGATCCTTGAAGTGTCTTATGCTTGGCGTCCGGAGGAATGCGGCGCAGCGCTCATGGTCGTTGCTGCTGTGAGCTTGGTCCTCACAGCGACGAGCACCATCTTACTTTCCAGACAGTGGATCACCCCGTCTATCATGTTCTTCGGTGCCGCTCTCTTTGGGTGGCTTGGTGTCTTTCTGATTTTCGACTGGGGGGCCAGGGGCACCTTCGGTGCGATCACTCTCCTTGTTGCAGACGGCATCGTCTATGGTTCGGCCAGTGTGGCCAATGGGATTGCCGAGGGTTGGGCCAGTCGGGCGACAGCACCGGGAACCGGATACAGTAACGAAATCTATCGCTCGAGGATGCTGGTCGGGATTTACACGAGCCGCTTCATGGCTCCGATCTTCGCCCGTTTCTTGGTGGACTTCGGGGGCCGCAATGTCTACGCGGGTTTACAGCTCTTCCTGTGCAGTCTGGGAACGATCAGCGTGTACCGCACGGTCACCTTGGTATGGCGAGGGAAGGTGACGTGATATCTAATATGTCTACTACTATATACTATTACTACCAACAACAACAACTACTACTACTACTACTACTACTACTCCTACTACTACTACTACTAATACTCCTTTTTCGGATGCTTCCGGCGTGACGGACTTCTGAGCATAATCCCAGCTACCATTGCCTGCATCGAGGGCGGAAATGTCGATGAGAGTTGGAAAATTGAACCTGATGCAGTGCACAGCATGGATTTCGTGCCAAGAAGTGGTAGTCGTCATCGTCGTCGTTCTTCGTCGTCGTCATCGTCGTAGTAGTAGTAGTAGTAGTAGTAGCAGTAGTACCAGTAGTAGCAGTAGTAGCAGTAGTAGCAGTAGTAGTAGTAGTAGTTGTTGTTGTTGTTGGTGGTGTATTAGTACGGCTTATAGCCCCTATATAAGTAACCATTGTGTAATGCATCCCCAG